TCCATAATAGAGCTCGTTCCATCAAATGGCTGAGGAGTAATCATATTCCTTCTGTACATGCTAGGCTTCCTCTGTTCATGTTCATACCATTTGGTGTTATTAAATTCTTTTATACTGCTGCTCGGTCCAGAAATAAAATCGCGCTCGTTTTTACTGAGCTTCAGCATTTCAGGATATTGTGTGTCTATAATTACTTGTTGATCGCCAGTTCTCACATACTGCAGCTTCAGAGCTGTTCCTTGGAGTCGACATATCCGACTGTTGATATACTAGCTCTTTCTTCTGTTCGCTAAAACCAAGATCAAATCTGAAATTACTCAGAAGTCTGGCTATCTGACTCCATCCGATCTGGCTTGTCGATCTGTATCTCGGGTTGTCTATCTGGATCCGTTTTGGGGTTTGTCAATCTGGATCTCACCTCTGCCACCAGAAAACTTATGTAGTTAACTGGATCTCTGGATAGAGCGGATTACTGTGGTAGAGTGCGCCCGGCTCTACCCGTTAGTTCCGTCGAGGGTTCACTACTGTAGAGGTGTGGGAGTAGCCAACCAAGTAGCTGGCTCAGAAATAGTAACACCAGATTAATCAGCAATGTTAAAGTTCTAAACAATTACCGTATTTAAACATGTTTGAATGTTTATTATTATAGCATATTTATAGTGCACCCTTTCATATAACATGTTCAGGGGCACTTTACAAAGTGACAATGTAAATCACACATAAACAACAAGATTATGGGCATGTTAACGATTGTATACAGAGTCAGTTAAAAGCCTGATTAAATAAATGTGTTTTAAGTTGTTTTTTAAAAGAATATATAGATGTACAACATCTTAAACTAAATGGTAGATTATTCCATAAAACGGGTGCTTGATAACTAAAAGAGCGCTGACCATAAGAGACTAGTTGAACAGTTTTGGGCTTTAAAAGTAGTTTATCTGATGTACGTAATGTTCGGCCAGGTGTATAAAGTTCTAAAAGATCTGAGAGGTAAACAGGAGCTAAATTATTTAAACATTTAAAAGTAAGTAATAAAATCTTAAAATCAATTCGATATTTAACAGGTAACCAGTGTAAATTATACAAAACAGGAGTTATGTGGTCACATTTCTTAGTTAAAGTAACAAGTCTAGCCGCAGTATTCTGTACTTGTTGTAATTTATCTATAAGCTTTAAAGGTAAACCAACTAAAAGTGAATTAAAGTTATCTAATCGAGAAGTGACCAGAGAATTAAAAGGTCACTTAGTGGCCTCTACAGTTACACATTTACGTATTTTACCTATATTTCTAATATACTATTCAAAAAAAGTAGGGGATATTTGATTTTGGGGGCATAATACTAAAATATGCAAATGACTACGAAAAAAGTCACTATAGAACCTAACAGAAGAAACATTTCCAGTTACATGTGACGCCCAAACGCACCAATAGCTACCGCATGGAATGCAGGTGATGCTTGGGATCATCATGGGGGTCCAACCCAAGATTTGCACGACTCTGACTTTGAATGTTACAGTCATTGTGGCATTGAATTCCAGGGTGGAAACATCAGTTTAATTGTTTTAGTGACCAGAAAACAAATTTTGATATGCGTCGGCTTACCCAAAATGAAAGGTTACGTGCCCTTGGCATGCTACAGATCGGCACAACACAGGCGGTTGTGGCGCGGACGATGAATGTTTCTCAGTCTGTCATAAGCAGGCTATGGTCCAGATACCGTGATACACAATCTGTACAGGACAGACCACGCTCAGGTCGACCAAGGGCGACAACTCAAGCCCAGGATCGATTTATCCGTACCTTGGCCTTGAGAAATAGTGTCATCACAGCAAATCAGATCAGCGCTCGTCTTCAAACAGACACTGGTGTGAGAGTGAGTGACCAGACGATTCGGAATCGACTGCATAGGGGTCACCTTCGCGCCCGACATCCTCGCGTGATCCCTTGTTTGAGAGATCATCACATTCAGGCAAGACGTCGTTGGTGTAGGGATCGTCAACACTGGGATAATCGACGCTGGAGCAATGTGATGTTTTCAGATGAGTCAAGGTTCACTGTTGATTTTTTGGACAGACGTAGGAGGGTGTGGCGTCGTCGAAACGAGCGCTTCCAAGACGTTAACGTCAACAGACATGATCGATTTGGGGGTGGTTCTGTTATGGTGTGGGGAGGCATCACTGTTGCTGGAAGAACGGCTTTACATGTTGTTGCAGGGCGTGTTACAGGCCAGTACTACCGGGACAACATCTTGGCAGTCCATGTTGTGCCGTTCGCACGACGTCATGGCCGCCGTTTCATCTTCCAGGATGACAACGCAAGATGTCACAGGGCCAGGATCGTTACAGGTTACCTCCAACAACAGAACATCACCTTGGCCAGCACTGAGTCCCAACCTCTCCCCCATCGAGCATGTCTGGGACATGCTTGGACAGAGGTTACGTCAACGTCAACAACGTCATGCCAATGTCCAAGAACTTGCTGCTGCGTTGCAACAGGAATGGGACAATCTGGACCAAAATGACCTTAGACGTCTCATTAGGAGTATGCCACGTCGGATCAATGCTTGTTTGGCAAACAGAGGAGGATTTACCCGTTACTGACTTGGTTGTGATGCTGTGGTAACTTTGCTGTTTGACCCCGGGTATCATTTTACCCTTATAATGGTCAGTCTGTGCCTTACTTAGTCTAACGATCATTTGGAATAAATCGATGAATGTGAACTTCATTTCATTTTGTCATTTGTTTCTTCGTCAGTTTCATTAGGTGACTTTAATAACACTTAAAAATCAAATATCCCCTACTTTTTTTGAATAGTATATTAAAATAGCACAATTTACAAATATTATTTACTTGAGCTCCCATAAACATAAAACTATCAAAGATAGCGCCAATATTACGAGCAGAATAAGATGAAAATATATCACAATTACCAATAACAACAGTGGGGTTATCTTGTGCAGATTTAATCAATTGATGCCTTGAACCTAATAACAAATATTCGGTTTTATCATCATTCAATTTTAGAAAGTTCTTTGACATCCATTTTCTAATTTCACTAATACAGTTCTCAAGTTGCAATTTTGATAAAATGAAAGAAGATGGACAATTAGGTGTAAATGAAATATATAATTGAGTATCATCGGCATACAAATGAAAGCTGAGACCATATTTTCTGACAATATCTCCTAATGGTGACGTATAGAGGGTAAATAAAATCGGACCAAGAACAGAACCTTGGGGAACCCCAGATGACAAACCAGATTCAGACGACGATTTGCAATTAACTTAAATACACTGTTTTCTACCCACAAGATAGCTCTCTAAAAGATTTAATGCAGAGCCACAAATACCGAATTTTATATTGAAGTCTACGTAGAAAAATGGAAGGGTCCACGTGTCGAAAGCAGCAGATAAATCTAATAAAATTAAAAATGTACATTTTCTATTATCAATTTCCATTAAAATATCATTTGAAACCCGGGTTAAAGCTGTTTCGGTACTGTGAAATTGTTTATAAGCACTTTGAAATGGTTCATACAAACAGTTATCATCTAGATGGGCCTTTATCTGAGAAGCAATACATTTCTCCAATATTTTAGAAATAAAACTTAAGTTAGAGACTGGCCTGTAATTTTTAAAAACATTAGGATCCAGTGTAGACTTTTTAATTAAAGGGGTAACATAAGCTCGTTTGAAAACGTTGGGAATAGTAGCGGATGATATACAAGAATTAATAATATTGGTAAAAACTGGAATAACTTCGTCTAGACAGTCCTTAAGAACAGAAGTCGGAACAGGATCAAATGAACAAGATTTAAGAGCAGACGATTTAATTAGCTTTAAAACAAAAGATTCACTAACCAAGTTAAAATTTTCTAAATAAACAGAATTTTCTAACTTATCAAAATCATGAGCGTTAAAGTCAATAGTTTTATTTAAATCATCAAGTTCAGTTCGTATTTTTATTTGAAAGAAATCAGAGAATAAATTTGCAAGTTCAGTGTCATTATCATTGTCCGGGAGGATAGTACGCTCAGCATTATGGTCCAAAAGGGAATTCACAACTTTATACAGGTCTTTTTGTCTGTTTTCGCCATTTTCTATTTTATCAGAGTAAAATTTAATTTTAGCATCTTCAATTAATTTATTCACATTGTTTTTTAAAGATTTATAAATCTGTTTATGGACATGTAGATTTGTTTTCGGCCACAGATGTTCAGCCTTATTACGGTCCCTTTTGGCTTCTAAAATAGAATCATTAAACCACTGCGTATTGGGACGAATAGTAAATGTTTTCGTTTGAAGAGGAACAAGCGAGTCTAAAATTTCAGCAAGCTTTGAGTGATATTGGGTTGCCTTATCTTGTATATCTTGAATGCCATTGAAATTCGAGTTCACTATTTCCGCTTTAAATTTATTTATGTCAAATGATTTAAACCTTCGATATGTTAAAGTCTTTCTTGTTGGTTGTGGTTTCTGGATCATAAGATTAAAAGTTGCCGGGAAATGATCAGATATTAATTTGTCCGAGACAGAGAGATTATCCAGTTTAATATCAGGTGGATTAGTTATCACCAGATCGAGAATATGTCCACCGTTATGAGTAGAAGAAGAAACATGTTGTGTGAGAGATCTATTATTCAGCATATCACAAAAATCAACCGCGGTAGAGTCGTTGGAATCATCAACATGAAAATTGAAATCTCCCCAAATAATAGTGCAACACTTAGTCATCATCAACTGGTCCAGAAATAATCCAAATTCTTCCATAAACTTTTGACACAATTTGCTATTGGGCGGGCGGTAAATTGTAATAATCCTAGTTTCCTTGAAAGAAAACTGTAGAGAACAATCCAAAATTTCAAAAGAATCAAAACGGTCATGACGGATTTTCTTACACTTAATAGATGACTTAAATATAAGTGCTACACCTCCTCCACGTGCAGCGCGAGGGCAATGTTGTATAGAATACCCATCAGGTACTAAAGCTGCGATTGTCGATGAGTCCGAACAGTCATTACCCATAAAAACTGATAAAGTACAACATACATGTCCTTTTAACCAACATAGTTGTATCAATACAGATTACGTGTAATAACAATACAGTTCTAACTTGTAAAACTATACTTTTATTGTTAATTTACCAATTTTTTTTACAGTAATCCCATGTTACCTCACTAATACAGTAAATTTATAGTATAAAAACATGCAGTGGTATTTTTACAGCGTTTTCACTGTAATTTTACATTTATTTTTAACAGCGTGTCTACGGTTCTATGCCGTCTATGACTTTCGTTGTTTTTTTTTTGCAAAATTCAAATATTTTTCATATATATTTAGCCAGGTATGCCGCTATTTTTTCATGTGTTGCAGGGTGTGCCGTTGGCAAAAAAAGGTTGAGAACCGCTGCTCTATGTATACACTTCATTGGCTCTCAAAATGGCTCTCTCAGAGCTCGACAATCTTAACGCTCCTACAAAAGGGCTCTCTGTGACGCTCCCTATCGGACTCTCTATAACGCTCCTAAAAGGGCTCTCTGTATCGCTCTCTCTATAACCCTCCTAAAAGGGGCTCTCTGTATCGGGGTCAAACTCGTCGGTGAAATCGACTGGAGAAATAATCTCAGTTTTACCTCTGCTGATACAACTCGACTCCCCTGCTACTGGGCAAGACATGTTGTTGTTGTTGTCTATTACAGATTTAACGTCCAATACAATGAATATGATACTATGGACAGGTTGATTTAATTAAATTATTTACACTTGAAAAATTGTTAAAAACACAAATTAAAAAAAAAGCAAAAAAAAAGGGTCCTCGGATACCAAAAGTTCCTTAAAGCACACTTAAAAATTCGCCGTCATGAAAAGAGAGGGCGAGTCATCAGAGCGGATAGAAAAACCCCCGTGGGGAAAAAGAATCCGCTGGCTTTATGCGGAAAAGCGAAGTGCTCGAAGTAAAAACCACATAGCTGGACCCGTAGATTTTTTACATATTAAAAGTGTTCGTCCAATAAGTTCCATATTGTTAAAAATTAATGAGTTCAGGACTTAAAAGTTTAAAAGTTGTAGGCATTACATTAGAGTTTTCCTTGCGTAAAAAAGTTACCTGAAAAGAAAAAGAAGAGTCAGCAGCAACAAAGACAAATTGAACCATTTATAGAAGTAAATAAATTTTTAAACACATGTTAAATTAAATTGATTGATGTGCACTGTCATTGTTAATAATGGTTATGTAGGTCCCTATTCCTGTATTTTGTCATTATTTTTCCTTAGTACATGTATATTATTATAGTAAACTATACAGCAGGCTGAACCGCTCTACTGTCCTATAGCAATAGTTCCTTTTTTGTAACTAGATATGTAGTCCCCTATCTTATTAAAGCATCCAAGTGGCTTAGGGGTCAACCTGGTCTACACAACCAGTTATCTTTCTTTGACTAGTGCTATTTTAACGCAACTAATTTAACAGTTAATTCCCGATTCTGCTATGAAGTTTGAGATAGCTTCATAAATTTTATATGACATATTCCGAGGGGGGAAGAGTACATTTTGGAGGGTATATTGAAGTTTGGCATTTTCCATTAAACGTCTTTTCTTTTCCAATTTATTGTACGCAGTGATAACATGATTAACGGTCAAATTGTGGCCACATTCGCACTTCACTGGGTTGAATTTATGGTCGGTAATTAAATCTTTAGTTCTTAATCTTGTGAATAACACACAAATTTTGCGCGATGGGTGATTAATCTCCGTCTGTAAAACCAGATCGTTGTTTAAATTGAATCTAAACGTATTTGCTAGGGCCAACTCAATTTTCCATTGTGATTTAATTTTAGTTTTGACGATGCTATTAAATTCCTGAACGCTATATTTTAAGTATTCGGTCTCGCAGAGGCCGAGTCCTTTGCGAGCCAGATTGTCTGCGGACTCATTGCCTGCTATGCCAACATGGGATGGTATCCATGTAAATTCTACGGTTTTATTTTTGTTTCGGAGGGAATAAACACTTGCTCGAATATTCTGAACAATTTCTGGTCTAGGTGTTTTTTTGTCATGTATTATTGACTTTATGCTGCTAAGGGAGCCTGACACAATGACTGCTCTTTGAATGGTGGATGACACGAGCCATACAAGGGCTGCGGATATTGCCTTTAGTTCTGCTATATATATATATAGCCTTTTCGATATATTAATATTAAATTATTGGTAGTGTTTGGATCGTGAGACCCGTCCGTGTATATTTTCACATGCGATGACCATTTTCTGTTCACGAATTCCCTTGATAGCAATAGAGCTTGTTGGGGATTTTCTTTTTTCTTGACAACGTTACCTAGGCTTATGGCATAGTTTGGATTTAAAAAAAGTCCATGGGACTTGATACGAAAATACCCTGTCAGTAATCTGATAGTGATCTAATCTTAGGTTTTTTAATAGATATTTGCTCTGTGACCGAACGACTGAGTCTCTGATTTGACATTTCTTTTGAATTTTCTCCTTGATGTTTTTGTACACTTAAATGTTAGACAGCTGTCCCCAAGATACTGTAACTTGGCCCAGTATCTCAATGTCAGTTCGTTTCGCCTCCATTCGAATGATATTTCAACTACTTCCTGCAAAATACTTTCCCTTTTTGTGCCAAATGAAGCTTTCGTTGCTATCCTTATTGCCTGATATTGTAAACTGTCTAGTTTAGCAAGAGCTGTTTTATTTGCACTTGCAAAAGCGACACAACCATAGCCACATATTGATCTTATCATGGACCTATATATCATTAGCAGGGTCGTTTTGTTTGCTCCCATGATATGCCCGTCATACATCTCATTACGTTAAGAACTTTGTCCTCGTTTAACAATATTTTCAATATGTGGTATAAAAGTCATTTTGCGATCAAAGGTCACCCCATGAAGCTTTGCCTGATCTTTAAATTTAATTTGGCTATTGTTCAATTCCAGTTTCATAGATGACACTTCCCTATGATCCCTACAGAAGAGCATGCGTACTGTTTTACTTTCAGATATACGAAATCCCCAGTCATTAGACCATTTCCACAATTTGTCTAAGGCTTCTTGCATTCTCGTTCTAACCGTACCGTAGTTATTCACTGCGTGCCAGATTGAACTGTCGTCAGCATAAACCGCTACGTCAATAAGTTTCTTAATGTAGTTATTAGACTGAAGGTCATTAATCATGATATTAAAGAGGGTGGGGCTTATAACAGAACCCTGGGGTGTGCAATTTCCAGTTCGTATTTGTTGCTTATTGAGAGACCTACATTAACTTGTATTTGCCTATCGCTTAGAAAATCATCGATCCAGTGGAACATTCGTCCTGTTACCCCTAGTCCATGTACTTTTTTGAGTAGGCCATCCACCCAAACTAAGTCAAATGCCTTGGCCAGTTCGACGAATACTGCACATAGATAATTGTTCTTTTTAGATAGTGAAGTCATGATGTCACGCTGTAACCTTACAATATGATCAATAGTGGAGCGCTGCTGTCTATATCCACTTTGGTTTGGACTGATTGATCCATTACTTTCACAGTAATAATTTTGCCACTTAAACCTTTATGCATTTCCTCTAGGCCCGAGTCTAGGGTAAAGGGTGAGTTAATTTCTTTGTGTTCATCTGCAGAGTTACGCGATGGTTTATTGCAATGAAATTCCGACTTTTGTTTTAAGAATTTGTCGTTGTGATTTTTATCGCTACTGCCATCAGCAAATGTTTTTGCTAACAGCTCCGCCTTTTCGCAATTTGCCATGGCTGATTGGGATTCATAATTAAGCGTAGGAATATTTCTAGAAAAACATTTGCCGCTTATTGCGTGTATTTTTTCCCAGACATTTGAAATTTTAGTTTTATCATTAGTACTATCACAGAATGCCATCCAATGCTTTTCTTTTGCCTGTGAAATGACCTGTCTGGCGTTTGCATCGCACTTAGTATACAAAGATTTATTCTCTGAGGACCAGACGCGGAATAGTTTTTTATGTGATTTTTTCCTTGCATTTACGGCTGTTTGAAATTCTGGGGACCACCAAGGTTTTGAGGCGCCTTTAGTTTTCCCATCTGTTGTTCTGGGAATTGAACCTTCTGCTACACTTAAGATCGCACGCAAAATATTATCGGTAAATATATTTTTATATCATCGTGTCTAACTGCGCTTGGGCCGATTTCTTCACAGTAGTGTTGAAAAAGAACCCAGTTTGCGTGTTGAAGTTTCCATCTTTGTTTGCACGTGACTAGTTCTTTGTTTACGTTCGAGTTTATTTCAGTTAAGACTATTAGATGATCACTACCTAGCGTATTATTTATGACTTGCCACTTACAGTTTAAAGCTTAACTGGGAGATGTTAGGGTAAGATCAAGGTGGGTTGCACCCACTTTGTTGCCAGAACCGATATATGTTGGGTCACCGTTATTTAGTAGAACCAAATTAGAATTTTCAATGAAATTATTCAGTTTATTCCCGGCATTATTATTAAGAGGGGGGCCCCAGGTGGAGTGGTGACTGTTAAAATCTCCACATATAATAATGTCTTTAGTTTTTAATTGATCATATATTTTTTTGATACGCTTCTTCCTCAAAGATTTTATACGGATTATAAATGTTAACTACGGTTATATTGTGTTTGTCGGTTGTAGCTAATTCTAACCCGATTACCTCTACTTCACCAGAGTCATTTCTAATAAACTTATATGAGAGTTGTTCACTCACGAATATTGCAACGCCCCCAGAAACCCCTTTTGTGAGATTAATACGATCTTTCCGCAAAAGTGTGTACCCATTACGTTTTGGGCCCTTCTGCTTTGGACCTAATTTTGTTTCCTGTATGCATATTATGTCAATTTTGGATTTGCTAACCAGGAGGTTCAATTCTGTCAAACGTGGTCTGACAACATTAGTACTTATTATAAGTTATTGGATTATTTGACCGGAGAGGTTTAATTCTTATTAATGAGCCAGTTTGAATAGTCGCTAGTATTTTTCTTCTGTATTTTGTCATTAGCTTTAGGATTCTTCTTATTTTTATGTACATGTCCTTTATTCGATGTCGCCTCGGCATGAACAGACACGACCGTTGTTCGTTTGGGTACTTTCCTTTTCAATGGGGATTTGCTTTCCCTTCGTTCGACTGGGTCTATGGTTGGGCGATTGTTAGATACTTTCTTCTTTTTTGCCGCATGTGAGATGTAATCATCATCTGAGTTGTCAGATAACATGTCCTCACAAACCTGAATATCCGATTCAGCTTTCTGAGTATTGTTAACCGCTTGAATAGGGATTGTGCTATCTATTTCTAGATGGTTGTCAATAATAAACCTTTTTGCACTCTGTTCAATAATGTTAATAACAGCTAGAGTCCTTGTCCGTTGAGTTATTTATACAAGTAATTACACCAAGTGTTGGGGTGTAGTAATTATGCGATTTGGTTTATCGTTATCTAGATTTAATTTATCAGTAAATATATTTTGTCTCTCAACGCCCCCTCCTCGTGTATTCCTGGATGACGTTAAAAATAAGTTTGCTTCCTTAAATGAAATGTTTTTAGAGTATTGAATTTTAAGAATTTCTGCTATTTCAATAAATTTGGTGCAAGTTTTGTCAGTTGACTTGTGGTTTTCGCCACAGTTTGCACATTTTAATATTTCAGATGAGCAGGTGTTACTGGCGTGCGAGTCTGAACATTTCTCGCACGCAGTTTTCACCTTACAATGAGACTCATTATGTCCAAACTTTTGACAGTTTCTACATATTTTGACACTGGGAATATACGGGTATACTGTTCTAATCTGAAAACCTAATTTTACTTTTTCCGTGACCTGACGTGACTTGTACGGTTCCTGATTTTTTGCCATCTGGGATTCTATACCTATGTACACTTATTACTTCATACCCATTGGATTGAAGGTCGTCTAAGATTTCTTCGTTTGTGTATTCACATGGGATAGCATGTACAATACCCTGCACCTGAGATAGGGGTGGGGCTATTACCACATCTACTCCGTTTAGTTGTTCGATCTTGCATGCCATTTCTGCATCAATGGCATTTTCAAACGCCAGTCGAACGTTCCCATTTTTCAATATTTTAATTTCGGGAGTGTCTTTTATTCCCCATTTGCTTTTGATTTCGTCGCCGATCGTTTTAGTTTTTGAAAGCTATAGATTTTGTATAGTCTTTTGGCTTAACGATGACCACTTCGGTGTATTTATTAGTGATTAGTTTATCGGTATGTTTACGACTGCCTACCGTTTTAAAACAGTTAGGAAGTGGTGTTTTTAAAACACATTCAACATAGCTTGAACATTTTGTATTCATGGCCGCCATATTGATTCTAAATTGACAAATAAAGTCTTGTGAATAACTCGAAATTTTAATTGAGATTTCGAAGTCAAATTACTGAAACAATAAGCCGCCCGCTTATAATATTAGTAAATGTTATAGGTTGTAGTAAATTTGTACTTAGCTTGTCGTAATGTTGGATTATCTTTGACCTTTAACATCGTTATTTGTTCTTATGGTTCTCCCCAAAACACTCCAGGTCTGCTAAATCAACTACCAATCTGTTAAAACAACAAGGTACTAAAACATTAAAAGAAACAGTAAAACACAACCATCACTTTATTAAAACAACAATATCAATTTGATTAAAACAAAAATGTCAATTTGATTAAAACAAAAATGTCAATTTGATTAAAACAAAAATATCAATTTGATTAAAATAACACATTTTTATAACAAAATCAGATTGATCTGAGTGGTCTCCAAAGAAAGCAATTGTATTAAAACAACCAGCACTTATATTTGTTGGGATGAGTGGGTTTTTAAAAGTTAAGATGAGTGGTCTTTTATCTTGGGATGAGTTGTCTTATATTGGGATGGGTTGTCTTTAGATGAGTTGGCTTTGGGATGAGTTGTCTGTATACCTCCTGAATGTTTCATGACCTCTACAGTGGATACTTGGGTTCAACACAAACTATGTCTGGACAATATACAACAACATTTCATTTTGGGCATATACAATGCCATATGAGCATAAATGCTTAAAATGCATTTAAATAATTATGTAAAGTAAAATAGAATAAAACACACAGATCTGTATTTAAGACTTATTATAACATACCAAACAAGCACAAAAAACAAATACAAATTATTCATGATACTTTAATATTCAGTGTAAAGTCTGTCTTTTTTACATTCTTAATTCACATAACCGTATATGGAATTTCAAAAATAATTTCTTGTGTTGTTTATTGTAGCACATTATAAACCAGGGATGGGGTTTCAAAACCATGCTAGATATGTACATTAATTATAACAATATAAAAACAAGCGGTTGCCATGCAAGATACATTCACATTTTGCAAGAGATGGATATGGAACAAGCTAAAAACAACAAAACAATTTTGTGTACGTTCAGAGGTCATATCCAGAAAGTTACGGTCCGATACGCGCAGGTATTGAAAGGAACACAGATCTTTGGTTTATAAACACATAAAAATTGTGACCTCTAGACGTACCACAACTATTTGCGTACACGGAGCGTTTGTTTTGTCGGGCAGTTTCGGTCCGATTTTCACGAAATTAGAACTCAGCCATCATTAGGGTGTAACAGTGATCTATTTAAACGGTTTTTAAAATCTGATCAAAATTGTGGCCTCTATAGAGACCACAAGTTAAAATCAGGGGCCATAATTTTGGAAGTTCAGTCCAATATGTGCGAATATTAAAAGGAACTGAGATCTTTAGGTCATAAACATATATTTTAAGTTTCATCAATATCGGATAAAAATTGTGACCTCTTAAGAGTGTCCACTAGCTAAAAATGTTATTTTTCATACAATCAGAGACCTTAATCCATGAAGTTACCATCCGATACATGCCAATATCGAAAGGAACCGGGATCTTGGGGAAATAAACCTATATTTCAAGTTTCGTCAAAATCGAATAAAAATTGTAATCCGTAGAGTGTCCACAATCAAATTGTGGACGGATTGGGGCGACGACATCATACGTCCCCATGAACACAGATCTTTGGTTTATAAACACATAAAAATTGTGACCTCTAGACGTACCACAACTATTTGCGTACACGGAGCGTTTGTTTTGTCGGGCAGTTTCAGTCCGATTTTCACGAAATTAGAACTCAGCCATCATTAGGGTGTAACAGTGATCTATTTAAACGGTTTTTAAAATCTGATCAAAATTGTGGCCTCTATAGAGACCACAAGTTAAAATCAGGGGCCATAATTTTGGAAGTTCAGTCCAATATGTGCGAATATTAAAAGGAACTGAGATCTTTAGGTCATAAACATATATTTTAAGTTTCATCAATATCGGATAAAAATTGTGACCTCTTAAGAGTGTCCACTAGCTAAAAATGTTATTTTTCATACAATCAGAGACCTTAATCCATGAAGTTACCATCCGATACATGCCAATATCGAAAGGAACCGGGATCTTGGGGAAATAAACCTATATTTCAAGTTTCGTCAAAATCGAATAAAAATTGTAATCCGTAGAGTGTCCACAATCAAATTGTGGACGGATTGGGGCGACGACATCATACGTCCCCATGAACACAGATCTTTGGTTTATAAACACATAAAAATTGTGACCTCTAGACGTACCACAACTATTTGCGTACACGGAGCGTTTGTTTTGTCGGGCAGTTTCAGTCCGATTTTCACGAAATTAGAACTCAGCCATCATTAGGGTGTAACAGTGATCTATTTAAACGGTTTTTAAAATCTGATCAAAATTGTGGCCTCTATAGAGACCACAAGTTAAAATCAGGGGCCATAATTTTGGAAGTTCAGTCCAATATGTGCGAATATTAAAAGGAACTGAGATCTTTAGGTCATAAACATATATTTTAAGTTTCATCAATATCGGATAAAAATTGTGACCTCTTAAGAGTGTCCACTAGCTAAAAATGTTATTTTTCATACAATCAGAGACCTTAATCCATGAAGTTACCGTCCGATACATGCCAATATCGAAAGGAACCGAGATCTTGGGGAAATAAACCTATATTTCAAGTTTCGTCAAAATCGAATAAAAATTGTAATCCGTAGAGTGTCCACAATCAAATTGTGGACGGATTGGGGCCACGACATCATACGTCCCCATGAAAATGTGGCCGTATAACTGTAACAACCATGCATTTATAAAGACTTTACAACTCAACACATTATCACATATGAAACACATTAACGACTTCCTGATAGTTCTCATTCTTAAATAGTGACTTGCGTCCCTGAAGAAACACTTTTCCAATAGCTTGGCTAACATCGATCTTAATTTATCCATTTGATTTAGAATCATTTGCTCAATAAAGATGATCCAAACATTTCATTTATTGCGTTTCTCATTTACTAAATGCCAGTTAATATACCTTTTCTGATAGTAAACAAATGAAAAGTATTCATAAACAGTACTCTTGAACATTTGAACAAACAAGAATACATGTGCAATGTACTGAACATAACTTGATTTTCCACCTCCTATATACCATCGTTTAGGGATATATTCAAACTAAATAAAATGCTGGTTGAATTGTGTATATTTTCATTAAAACTGACAAGGCACAATCAAAGAATTTTAAAATATCAATGTAATGAGTTTTTAGAAACGTCAAACCTATAGTTAAGATAGAAGTTCTTGTATTTGACATATTTAAAAGAATTACTGGTATATAGGATAGACAAAATTCTAGAATTCAAAACAATATTTTTCATAAATATTTATCAAGATTTATTGATTAAACTAATTATAAGCAGTCATATTTAATTTGAAATCCTATCATTTTGTATGAAAAATCATTTGTTCAATTATCTCCCCTGTTTAGAACACTCATCTAAGTTTGTGAAATGAAATGGGGTTTAACATCCTAATGTTCTGCTCCGCCTGGGCTAATGCTAATGAACACGGGCATAGGCCATACAGTGTGCTACAGCCTACTTTTATATCGAATTTCAACTGCCAAGGGATCTTTTACGTGCACGCCAATGTGTACACAGGATCTCAATTTTTCATCCCATCTGAACGAATAGACAGCTGTCCTTGTCAGGCTCCCCCATCCTACACCACTGACAAGGGGAAACCATACCGGGTCTAACTTTGTTCTCGACTCAACAACAGCATACATGACACATATATAATATATAAAACCACAATAATAGGTTCAATATAATGCTTTAGAGATTAGACTATTTCAAGAAAAAATAATTTTATGATGAGCATTTTAGAATGTTTTCGTAAAAGACTGGGTTAAAATGACTTTATTCGGTCATTTTTAAATACAGGTACTGGTAAAGCTTCTATCAAAGTAAGTTTGTCACTTCCACAATTTCCTAGAATTTCAAATTACATTAAGAACTCCTGACACAGGAAATCATATAATATATTTAATTCCATATCGGTATAACATTAAAAATACACATATATACCTTTTAAAAAGTAAACAACAATATACTCTATATTTAAAAAACAATTATAATAATATAAAATGAATATAAGGCCAATTATATTTTATCTAACAAGATGGGGATGGCACCAGCTGCCCCAACTCACCATGTTCTCAAGGACTGGGTGTTACATCGTATTTTCCCATTAAAAGGTGTCTTTATCCACTGCAGACTTTTTTACTTGATTTCTAATGTTACAAACACATGCAATGGAGATTGAAGTTGAAGCTTTCAGTAGAATAAAGGCTGTGAATTCTATCCTGGATAGAGATGTTTACAATTACTCATGGCAAGGGGGGGGGGGGGGCTATTACTTTGATTGATATGGTACTTTTTAAAATGAAGAGAATGAAATATAAAATGGCTGTAATATGACAAGAGGCAAAGAAGGCTAGACGTTGGGTTTGTTTTGCCAAAGTTACAGATAAAATATTAACAAAATAGTTACTGTCTTTACGGTATAAGGAATAAATATGCAAAGTTCCAAGATGATCCATTCAGAATTGCAGTCTGTAGACGATAAATACAAAAATTGGGTGAGGCTCTTCCCTTGTTATTGAAATGATTGATATGCTGAATTTGAACAAATCTGTTAATTATTGCAAAGTGTAGAGTAATTACAGATAAAAACTAACAAAAAAGTGGGTGTGGTCCCACACGCCTGGGGGTCGGGACATGGACCAAAATAAATATTTGCTATCCTTACAGTATAAGGAATAAATATGCCAAGTTTCAAAATGATCCGTTTAGAATTCTAGCTTGTAGAATAAAAAAAAATACAAACATTGGGCGTGGCTCTGCCCATGGAGGTTGGACATAGACCAATATATACTCTTCAAAAAAAGTAGGGGATAATACAAAACTGCGGAAATGCACTGCTGTTTTTATTAGAGGTAACCATGAACATTAACAGTTCATATGGGCAGCTTATCTGACGGCTCCATTTTACTCGAAAAGAGATACACTGTCAAAAGTGAAAATGGACGTTTTTGATTTTTGTAATAATGAGTAATTGCTCCACCAATCCTCAGACATTCAGCAATTCGTCGTGGCATGCTCCTAATCAACCGTCCAATCCCGATTTGGGGCAATCTGACCCACTCCTCTTGCAGTGCCACGGCAAATTCTTGCAGTGTTGTCGGTTGACATTGACGTCGACGAACACGTCTGCTGATCAAATTAAACATAACACACTAAAGCAAAGATATGCTAAACAGTAAATTTTATGCACGAACCGATCGGAAAGCAAACATGGATAGGAAAAAACCAGCAAGAGGCAGTTTTCATCAACCCTTCCTTGAAGTGTCAACTTTGACAATGAATCCCTGCCACGTGTATGGCACGATTGCGTGTCGCACATGCAGCTCAGTGGTTATGATTGGGCGATAAGTTCTTCATTTGTGAACATGCTCTCAAAGCATGTCAAGTGTCTATGACTATTTATCATATCACAACCTGCATAGGTATTTGCATTTCAATATCCCCTACTTTTTTTGAAGAGTATATATAGGTAAAACCCTATGCTGGATCACTCCGAATTGGATCCAAATCTGTTAATAATTGCACCTGTATATCATTTACAGACAAAATATCAAAATATCAATGGGGGGGTGGGACCTATAATAAAAGATAGGTTGCCAGGCAACGAAACATACGCCCACAGCAGCTAAATCGTCTGGGCAGTCAACACTATTTTTACTTTTGTTGGTAATGAAACATTAATAATACACTAAAATCTGATTAAGAGTAACAACTCATTAAGTAATTATCAAAAAATCATTAGAATTTGTTTGGCCCATGCTGACGTTTAGTATACAAAACATTTAATATCATGGATTTAGCTGTTCAAGTTACCAAAAATCATTAAAAATCAATATACTTGTTCGTCTCAAGACTCTGTGTATCAATCTAAAGTCAATCGAAATGATTATATATAGGCGTAACCACGGTGTAAAAATATAACTATGGTCTCTAAAGCATCCACAAGATTTTGCAAAGTGATTAAGGGCCATAACTCTGACAGTAATTATCGGATAGCGTTGAAAATCAATAGGCTTCTTCGTCTCATTACCTTAAACACTGTGTATAACTTTAGCCTCTAGAGCGTCAACAAGATTTTTCAAAGTGATCAAGGGCCATAACTCTGGCAGTAATCATCTGAAATCGCTGAAAATCAATAGGCTTCTTTGTCTCATGCCTCTAGAGCGTCCACTGCAACCAGCAAAGTTCTTATTTTATATTCATTGATATTATCTAATAATACCATAATGAATTTGAAAAAGGGAATAAATACTAGTACACAAATCACAGGGAATATTGATTATTTAACCTATGGCAATATAAATTATTTTTTTAAATACACTTAAAATACAGATGTGACGTCACCCTTTGATGTTGGTGTACCATTATTTCAAATAATCGTACGGGCAACTTGCCAATCGTACATTATCTATACTAGTGAAATATTGGACTCACGTGACGTATTTCACTATAAAAGCATGTGCGGAGTGTCTGTATTTTAAGTTGTTTAATGGTCTCGTGCTTAAGACATTGCGTAATATATTGTAAAAACACTCGGGCCTACGGCCCTCTTGTTGTTTAAATATATTACTTAATGTCTCGCTCTCGACCATTAAACAATATATAATCATTGAACATTTCAATTTCCTAAGACTAAACTTTTTTAACAAAGTCATAAAGAGCACCGATCAAAGGTTATACCATTTGTTACAATTTGTTATTTTCCTAAAAGATGCTATCATTACATTCCTGCTGGTTTATCAGAGTCTTCTTTATCTTCTTCATCTTCTACTTCATCTTTCTCATGAACTAGCAGAGCTTTATAAAAAAAAAAGGGAGAAAAAATAAATGTACATAAACTAGAAACACATATGGTGAAAACTTAAAAAATAGGCAATTCTTATGTATGAAGAAACAGTTATAAGCCTGAGGGTATCAGAGTAAAAATTGTATAATAGTAATAAATTTATTATCAACACAATATACATGTTTATAGAATTACTAGAATTATAAACAACCAATGAACCAGGCTAGAAATATATGTAATTATAAACAAACAGCCTGGCTAGAAATCTATATAATAAAAACACACTAACAACGTGGCTAGAAATTATATATGTAATAATAAACTCAACAATCAACCTATAGAAACAATAAACATCAAGACAATTGAGGAAGGCATCTAAAAACACATGTAATGACACTAGAAATAATTATTAACTTTTATGTGTCATTACAAATTAGAAAATATCTGTAAACAAACAGCACAGATTATTCAATTAAACAAGAAAAATGAACTATAATTAGTTATGGTCAAAGTTTTAAACTCACATTTTCCAGGAAGCTAGAAACAACTTTGTAAAATCATATATTACTAAATGTTTTTTGTATACTTTTTGTATATTTTTCAAAAACTTTACACTATAGTGACATACTATATCTATGCCATACAGTATGTGTTCCCTTACCATTTGCTATTTCTTCTAATATTTTAGATTTACATATTTTATCATATTCTTTCTTCTCTATAGTCATAGGTTTCATATTCTCTTTAAATTCTTCATATGGAACCAAAACCTTTGTATTTCCTCTTGTAATTTGTTCCTGTAACAAAGATTTATTAAGTTCAAAATTAAAAATAAAATAAAGATGTTTTACGATAAAAATCAAGCATTCTTGTTCCAATATTTCGTTTTAAAGTAGGCAAGTTTTTAACTCAATATCATCCACTGTCTTTGACATTGGTCAATTTAAATCAACATTGATGTTGCTATCTTACCGTGAAAAGATGGGCTTCCGATATCCAACATTTACAACAAATGAAAATTTTAAAATTGGCACATAGAATGCTTTATAGCGCCATTTGTAATGAAGCAACTTGATGAATGAGGCTAAACATACAACAGGAGAATACTACCAGTGTAGAATGAAATAACCAGACGCCAAATACTGCCATTCTTCGCATATTCCTCCGAACATAACTGATTAGAAATTACGGTAAAAACAGAAATGACTGAATGTAAATCAGTTTATATACATTCATATCATAATAATACAAGCGTTGCCACCCATTTGTTTCCATTTTCAGGTGCCAAAGAATAGGTATTTAGCTACTTTAACAAGCCAACAGTGAGGCTGATGTCCCAGGCCGAAAACCCAAAATAAATAGATACACATAATTAATGGCACATTTATTTTTTTTCAAAAGTATCAAGCAATCAAACTGATTATCAACTATACACTAAGTTTCATCACTCTCTATCAGATAGAATCAAAGTTATCCTGTCCCAAAGCATCGACCAATGAAATTGCTTAGCTAAGCTTAGCTTTAGCTTGAAATGTTAATCATTGAACTCAGTCAAGACATTCACTTAATGAACATCTACATCAAGTTTAAAAATTCTACCTCAATTAAAAGCAGAGTTGTTATGTTCCAAAGTCTTGACCAATCAAATTGCTTATCGTTCCTTAGTCAAGATAATGATCAATCAGAACGACAGACCCACCCTAGCTACCATTTAATTTTCGTACGTTAGTTACGTACGGGTAATGATATAATGAATCTATATTCAAGAGTTTCATCACTCTCACTTAATTATAACCAAAGTTATCGTACCCCAAAGCATCAACCAATCAGATTGCTTATCTCTACTTACAGTAAGCAGACAATGTTTATCATCGAACTCCATCAAGGCATTCACCTAATGAACACCTACACCAAGTTTGAACATTCTAGCTCAATTAGAATGAGAGTTTCTGTGTTTCAAAGTCTCGACCAATCAAATTGCTTATCGCTCTGCTTGCCCTGAGCAGAAAATGCTCATTATCGAACTTAGTCAAGGTATGGATGTAATAAAACTATACACCAAATTTCATCACTCTCACTTGATTAAAACTAAAGTTATAATGGTTCAGAGACTCCAATTTCTGTCCTTATAAAAACTGACCCACTTATCTGTCTGATTGCCTCTTCGAGCAATTTTATGAAGTGAGCAATGTTTAGTCCCTCACATGTGGTTTCGGATGTCGCAGCAAGGTATTTTACAAACATGTATTGGTATGTAAAGCCGAGTAAAAAATACTCTCATTACGCACTTAAGACTTTCGTGTTTATTTAATAGCGAACGTGAGCAAAAATTTCGATAGCACTCTTTGATTTAATTTTTGATTTGGGCGATGTGGGTGATTTCGGTACAGAGCTAGCTGCAATAGCTTCGTTTCATTTCTAACTTTCAAAACCATGAGCGTGGCAAGATAAACTCATTACAACATTTTGGGATTTACTTTTATTTAGTGGTTGCCACCTTCGTTTACTTGGCGCTCTTTTTATTTTAGGAAATAAATATTTGCTAGCTCTAAATACGCAGAACTATTTGAGACCGGAAAATAAACGAAACAAATTTTTATTTGTAGTCTTTATTTTCCAGACACTTTTTGGTAACTTGGGTGTAAATTATTTTCATAATCATAGTATCTTATATAATTATTGTGTAGACTTAAGCCTTGATCGACAGACTTAGTTGTTTTTTCTAGATCTGAGACTGAGCCCTGCAAGATGGCGTCCACTGATGAATTGCTATCCAGCACTGGATTGAACAAATACCCCTATGATTTGAGGACTGTAACCAAACTACCTATAGGAAAAATCACAAATAGGCTTATACTAGGCATTGTTAATAAATTCCTGACAACTACGGAGCATCGGTCTATCATAACTGCTTTACATGACGACTGTGTGACACCCCATTTTTTCCGGGGATAGCGGAAATAGAGGGACTCGGATACGATGGCTGATTTAGGACACGCAAAAAAAATAATATTTCGAGCGCTCGAGATATTAAGTCGAGCGCTTGAGATAATTAAGTCGAGCACTCGAATTAATGTAACCGAACACGTCTCAACTGATGTTTTGAATTGTATAATTTTTTGCATAATTTGATGATAAACTTGCAGAATAAAGATATTCGTTTGTTCGTTTTTACAGCCCATCCAAAGCTGCAGTGACGTCGCACCCCCCTCCCCTCACACACACACTCCATCCCATGCTCATCACCAACACTAAATATTTCTCGTTATATTTATCCCTCCCTTTCCAACAAGGGGGTTATATCGCATATTATTATACAAATCAATAATTGTATATCGAGGTTACAGAGTTTTGCTAGGAGAGACTGACATTTCCTCTTATCTAGAAGCTCAGGTCTGATCCAAGGTCATTTATTTCATATGTAGGAACTGATCATTGCCTAATTTACACTGGCGCAAGTGGTGAGATCGTGCTGGACAATCCCCCGTCCCCTGCCGGTCCTTACACCTTTTTCTACACTAGCTGGAGATTCAACATCCTCTTCCACCCACCGGGAAACCTTTATCTTATTAAATTCAGGGTCCTTGCTGTGGGAGGAAACACAAGGACACAGAGTAAAACCACACGATTGGAAGGCATCTCATTAATTTGGAAGGGGGTAGATATAATGGGAACTATTTAGTGGTGCTGATAAGAATGGGATGGAGTGTGGGGTGTATCCCCTTCCAAGTTAAGGTGTGAGTAAGGTTGGATGTGTGAGGGGTTGTTGCGCTTCAAGCTATAGCTCGTCAGCAACCTCGGGATTGTAGTTCTGGGTTGTCACTGGTTTGAGTGTATGTGACTTGATGTTACAGATGATAACGTAGCAGCGGTTATATCTGCATGTTTGGCTGTCGCAGGACGAAAATCTAATTACACTCCATGTGAGTAAATGCTACCATATCACACGAGAGAATGTTGTCCTAATTTTGAATTTGTTGTTAATATATTATTTAATTTCCACTGTAGCATTATAAACAGTTTATATTAAGACATTTGAAGGCGTGGGTGTATTGTTAAAATAACTAAGCGTTTGCGCATGCGTACAGATGTCAAATTCAATCATCTCATGGAGTGTATTCCGTTACTTTGCAACAAGGAAATAAGCTATGTTTTCGGACTGCGATAAAGACTTATTCGTTTCAAGGGCATTACGATTTTTTACACGACCAAGGGACATAACTTGTATTGTGACGAAGAGATAAATGCCTTGATAATGGAAGCCGGGAAGATTTTGAAGCATTAATAACAAATTTCCAAATGGTTATATCCTCAAAAATCAATTGTGGTCAGACGTCTATTGCTGATGAATGAAGTTTTTATGGCAAGTCTTATCATATAATGTTAAAATAATCCTGAAATAGTGTCTGTTTGTTGTAAAATATTTTGAGCATGAACCACTCTACTAAAGTAATCATGTCCCAAAGCATCAAACAATCAAATTGCTCATCTCTGCTTACTCTAAGCAGAAAATGTTCATCTTCGAACTCAATCAAGGCATTGGCCTAATAAACACCTGCACTAAGTTTGAACGTTCTAGCTCAATTAGAAGGAGAGTTATTAAGTCCCAAAGTCTCAGCCAATCAAATTGCTTATCACTCTACTTACCCTGAGCAGAGAAAGCGCATTATCGAACTTAGTCAAGGTATTGATGTAGAGAAACTGTACACCAAGTTTCATCACTCTCACTTAATTAGAACTAAAGTTATCGTGTCCCAAAGCATCAAATTGCTTATCTCTGCTTACTCTAAGCAGAAAATGCTTATCTTCGAACTCCATCAAGGCATTGACCTAATAAACACCTACACCAAGTTTGAACATTCTAGCTCAATTAGAAAGAGAGTTATTGTGTCCCAAAAAGTTTGACAGACACAGACAGATGAACCCATTTTAATACCCCCCTGCTTTCTTCGAAATACGGTGGACAAAAAGTCCAGAAATATACTCTTCAAAATAAGTAGGGGATATTGAAATGCAAATACCTATGCAGGTTGTGATATGATAAATAGTCATGGACACTTGACATGCTTTGAGAGTATATTCACAGATGAAGAACTTATCGCTCCAACAGAACCACTGAGCAGCATTGTCAAATTTGACACTTCAAGGAAGGGTTGATGAAAACCGCTGCGGGCTGGTTTATCCTATCTATGTATGCTTTCCTATCGGTTCTTGCATAAGATTTACTGTTTAGCGTATTTTTGCTTTAGTGTGTTACGTTTAATTTGCAATGAGATGTCTTCAACATGAGAAACGTCTACATGCTATTGGCATGCTTCAAATGGGTTCTACACAGCGATCAGTAGCCAACATGCTTAATGTGTCACAGTCTGTAACAGTAGACTGTGGAACTGGTACCAACAAACACACAATGTTGATGATAGACCTCGTTCAGGTCGTCCTAGAGCCACTACACAAGCCCAGGATCGATACATTCGTACATAGGTCCTGCGAAATCGAGGACAAACGGCCAATCAGCTTTTTGTAAACTTGTACCAAGTTACAAGAATTCGAGTTACACGCAAAACAATTAGAAATCGGCTACACTGCGTGTTGTGCCTCCATTAACTCGCCAGTACATGGTAAACAGGCGTCAATGGTGTAGGCAGCGTAGAAATTGGGGTAATCGTCGATGGGCGCGTGTAATGTTCTCAGATGAGTCCAGATTTACTCTGGATTTCACCGATAGGTGTGCTCGCGTTTGGAGGCATGTAAATGAGAGTCATGCTAACTTTAACGTCAGACAGCATGACAGATTCGGGCGTGGATCTCTTATGGTGTGGAGAGGAATCACCATGACTGGCAGAACGGACTTGCATATTGTTCAAGGAAGGGTCACTGGTGTGTACTACCGTGACCACATCCTGGCACCGATAGGTCTGCCCTTTGCTCAACGTGGAGGTCGACGTTTCATCTTTCAAGATGATAATGCCCGTGCCCACCGCGCTCGTGTCGTGAATGACTACCTTCAGCGTCACCATATTGTCCATATGCCTTGGCCAGCCATGAGTCCTGACCTTTCCCCTATAGAGTATGTCTGGGACATGATCGGGAGACGTGTTCGTCGAGTGAAATGGGGCCGTCAGATAAGCCGCCCATTTTAACTGTTTATGTTCATGTATAGGCAATTGGCCTGTTATTAACATACACTGGTTACCTCTAATAAAAACAGCAGTGCATTTCCGCAGTTTTGTATTGTTTCTGAATATCCCCTACTTTTTTAAAGAGTATATATTCAGAATTTGGTGTCACTAATTTAATAAAAATATTTTTTTTGATGAAAATAGATTTCGCAATATATTGCAACATGTATTGCAATACACTTGGATGTATCGCAATATATTACAATACGATTTTAGGTTGCAATACAAAGCCCTAGTATGAAGTTAATAGTTGTATTCCCAAAACAATAAAACCTTCAATTACCTTTCCACAATACAAGACTTTCACCCAGTGCCGTCCATTACTATCTTCATATAATTCTAGTCTTAGATCTGCTGCAAATGGTGGCCATGTATGATCGAAAATGTCAAAAGATGCCAAGAGAGCGACAAGAGTTGAATCATGGGTAGAATAAAGACACATCTTGTGTTTTCTAAAATATAATCAAACAGGATTATGTAATAATAATATTATCATACAGCTTTATTAGTTCTCATGAGACAATTAGAATTTGAACATAAAAGTATAACATAATTTTGAGCTCAACAAGTGGGCACATTTACATCTACATATATATTTTTTATCGATGGTTAGAAGGTAACAAAAACAACAATATCAACTCAAATACCTTTTGCCCTGTACTGTTTCTTCCATTCTATCTAAATTAGCACCAACTGCCAAACCTGTAGTTAGTCTTAATCCTACTTTTCGCTCTGCTCTAAATAATAAAACCCCAAAAACATTAGTTGCCAGGCAATTAAGGATAAACCCCCAAGCAAGCATTGTCATCTGGGGTGTCAAACTGGTCCTACAGTGGATCTTACTCAATCATCTTATAATTGGGAAGGGGTTTGCATATGAAATTGAATATATTCGTTTATTGAATCAGATTTTAATGAGAGGTCATCTCTAATACAATCATAACAATACAATAGCTGCGCATATATCATAGATGCTTGCAAGTTTTGAAAATACAGAGGTTGTCTGTGAGGTCAGTTACAATCTTATAGGTAGGTTTACTGTAATAACTGAAATAAAATACAACTAGGTTTGTTTTTTATTTGAAAAACCCCACTCTGTACAACATGCATGTGGTTTTGGAGTAAAAAATCCCACAATCCTGATTGTCTTCTTCCTGGATTATAACTTCACAATCATAGCCTACTTTATGATTAGCTGAAAGATCCCGGTAAACTTTGTATTTAAAACCTTGAAAACTTTAGCTTACTAATTAATGATGATCAATGACATTGAGTAAGTATTTACAGCTTATAGCAATAATGCTGTATGCTTACATAGATCTAACATATATAAACTTAAATTAAAAGTTAAAAATATTACAAACTTACTCAGATTGTCCACAAAAAGCATAGTACATCATCTTGATAGCATTTTTTTCAATCATATCTAGAAAGGGTTTTATAATATTTGGCATGGGATAACCATGGGTCTGTAAAATAAAAAAAAATAGTGTGATGAGTGTTTAGATGGGTTAATTCTGAGGGGAAGACTCTTAGAAAACCTTTTCCTAGTGCTGTACTTGAGGCTCTGTGGTACGCAGAAATATAAATTTTCATTTGTCCATAAACCCAAACAAATTAAAGCATTTCCTATATACATTCTATTTACAAGTGAACAGTATTCTTACCACTCTAGCAACAATATCATCTCTTACAAATATAAAGTTCAATTTTCTACTACCATGTTCAGAATCTATACCTGAAGTAGAAAACAAGTATACAATCATTTAATATACGACAAAGATTTAACATTGGGATTCCCTTAATATTGCAAGAAATCCAGAAAAAATTCTATATTCAGTTTAGAAAACATTCCTTATTGGAGTAAACCATAATTCACTAAAAATAAAATAATACCTACACCACTCTAACTTGTGATTGGTTTCGATTAAATTCCCCTTTAATGACTAAAGGTGTCATGACTGTTATGTAATCAGCTAGATATTTTTACACATCCCTTTTATTTGATAATGATTTTTATTACAGTAAACTTTGCATAAGTAGGATCTAAATGGACTGACCAATTTTATCTGAGTTATGCGAAGATCCGAGTTAGCCGAAGATCTAGTTCAGCTCTGAACGTAGGTCTCATTATCACACTGTACGTTCAGGAACCGTCCTATTGAACCCTGGGCAACTTTTTACTGCTAAACGGTGGTGTGTCAGTCTCTGTGAATGCCTGAACAATGCAAAGGAACATTTTAGTGAGAAAATAAGACCTTGCTTACCTCGCTAGAGTCAGTATGTGGGGTGGGGTACGGCTTTACGTAGCTTGACCATATAAGATGAAATGAAATTTAGGTAAGCTGGGGTGGGGGAAAATTAGAATCGTTGAAAAGCGAGAAACTTCAGTCAATTATTGCTTTGCCTAGCCCAATTACAATCAAATTTTTTCAAAAATTCCAAATTCGTTTCGTCTTATATGGCCAAGTTGTGCGCTGCCCTGTATTTGGATTTCAATGGCGTCAGCCAGGCCGTTTGCCGGAGGGTGACATATTTTTTACAGCATGTTGTGAACATATTGCCGAACCGACTTAGGCGAAGGAAAAAAGCTGGAATTAGATCAAATGGACCGAACATTTTGATCCAAGTTGAACGAAGATCCAACTTAGGAAATCTGATAAAAAAATTAATAAATTTAATAAAAAAAACGTGCAGGATCAAAGGGTCCCAACAATTTCATCTGAGTTGAGCGAAGATCCGACTTCTACAAATCCGACTCATGCAAGGTTTACTGTATTTGATAATGATTTTTCATTACTTGACAATGATTTATCATTACTTGATAATGATTTTTCATTCATAATTTGTATCACTATTTAAATAGATCTTACCAAGTATATTTTCCAGTTTTTTCCTATCTTCCTTAAAGCCAGGAATATCATCAAAATGTATCATGGAAGCATGATTTATCTGGCGTACAACTGGACAATTATGACCATTAGGAAATAATATCTCCGATTGTGTACGAGATACTGGGATAGTTATGGGACCTGAAAATATAATAATATTGGTAAACCTTAATCAGATTTCTGTATCTACTTAGCTCTTGTTTGGAATCAAATTCTGAAGAATACTTCTGTCCATTTCAGAAGGTCATTTTTTTACAAAATTGTAGTCTACAATAAAAGAAATAATGCTACCCTCTCGAATAACACAATATTTATGGATAACAATTACTATGGTTTATTTCACTGCGACGTTTCAACAAGATTCCACAAGTCGTTATCAAAGTGAAATAAACCATAGTAATTGTTATCCACAAATAGTGTGTTAAGGGATTCGATTATGTTCCAATTACTACTAAATGCCATTCAAAGAATGCTACCCTCTGTTCAGACATTTTTTAAAGACCACATCTGAACACTGAGTGATCAATTATACATGAGGTTAATACAGAATAATGATGGTAGTTTTTGTTATGGCCTTTTAACTCAAAGATGCATTATGTAAAAGCGATAAATGTTCCTATTGCAGATCCTTGTTTTGTCTTCTAATGTTATAATGGATTAGAACACCCGGTGGATTCCAAAATTTAACAATAAAATGGATAACTGAGATGTAGTATTATTATTACAATAATAAACACTCTACATCACATCTTGTCAAAACTTCAAACACTTATCAGTTCGCTTAGAATAAAGGAATTTGAATGAAATTTTCAATATATTCATTTTTAGGATCTATTTTTGAACTATTATAGCAAGAACGCTCTGTATCTAAATCGTACGTAATGCATCTTCAATCAATGTTTTATTTAAAAGAATATAATCCAGAATTTTAAATTATTAATAAAGTAAATAGTTACCTTTGGCATTTAATTCTTCACTACCATAAAGACCAGCTAATACACAACGTAGAGATGCTATAGTACGATGTATGTTAGTGGATCGAACACTAGAATAAATAACAAATTCCACTTAAGACACAGTCATAATAAGAGAAAGATATATATACAGGCCAAACAGATAATATTTATTTAAAAAATCTGAATTTTTTAAAATTTTATCTTTTTGCTTTTATTTTCAAAAGGGTTATTGCGCACAAAAATAAAGGTATTCACAGTTTACAGACATTCACTGTTTATAGACATTCACCGTTTATAGACTATAGATATTCACTGTTTATAGACATTCACTTATATAATTATTTTAACACAGGAAATATGAACGCAGAACGCATAATAATTACTGGTAATGAAATGTTTTTATGTGATGACGTGGTGGTATTTAAAAACCAGAATACTTTTTTTTAAGGCCTTACAATAATTGATAACTTACTTTTATTACATCTTACAATATTTAAATTAAGTAAACTTACTAAATATCATCTGGATCAAATTCTCTAGGAAGAAATGAAGCATAGTCTTGTCGCATATTTCTACCTAAATCAAACATCTGCTCTTGACCATAACATGTTAAAGAACCAGGCAGACCTCCACCCTTTAAATAAAAACAGTCGCTGCCAGGCCGGATACGCCCACATTTTGCAAGAGATGGATAGAGAACAAGCTAAAAACAAACACGATTTTTTGTACTATCGGGGGCAATAATCCAGAAAGTTATGGTCTGAAATGCGCAAATATCAAAAGGGACTGAGATCTTTGGAATATAAAGGTATGTTTTAAGTTTCATCAAAATCGGATAAAAATTGCAACCTCTAAAGGGTCCATAACCCTTGTATTACATACTTATACACAATTTGCGTACAAAGAGCGGCCATTTTGTCAGGCACTTTCATTTCGATTTTCCCAAAATTCCAAAAAAATCAGGGGCCATAATTCAGGAAGTTACGATCCGATATGCACGCATATTGAAAGGAACCAAGATCTTTGGGTTATAAACATGCATTTCAAGTTTAATTAAAATCGGGTGAAAATTGTGACCTCTAGAGAGTCCACAACCTTGATATACCATATTTTTACACTATTAGCATACGAGGGGCGGCCATTTTGTACAGAAGTTTTGGTCTGATTTTCACGAAATTCATACTCAACCATCATTACAGTGCAATGGTGATATATTCAAAAGTTTTTTTAAATCGGATAATAATTGTGACCTCTAGAGAATCCACAAGCTAAAAATGCAATTATTCGACCAATCAGGGACCATAATCCAGGAAGTTACGTTCAGATATGTGTGAAAATCAACAGGAACCAACACCTTTGCGTTATAAAGATGCATTTCAAGTTTCATCAAAATCGGATCAAAATTGTGACCTCTATTTGCATACAAGGGGGGGGCCATTTTGTCTGAAGTTTTGGTCCGATTTTCACGAAATTTGAACTTGACCATCATTAGGGTGTAACGGTGATATACTATAAGGTTTTTTTTAAATTGGATAAAAATTGTGACCTCTAGAGGGACCACAAGCTAAAAGCACGATTTTTTGTACAATCAGGGATCATGATTCAGGTTGTAACGATCCGATATACGTGAATATCGAAAGGAACCAGGATCTTTGGGATATAAACATGCATTCCAAGTTTCATCATAACTGGATAAAAATTATGGACTGTAGAGGGTCCACAAACTTGATATACCATATTTTTACACTATTTGCGTTCGAGAGATGGCCATTTTGTCCAACAGTTTTGGTCCAATTTTCACGAAATTCGAACTCAACCATCATCAGGGTTTAACAGTGATATATTCACATGTTTTTTAAAATTGGATAAAAATTGTACAATTTTCGTACAATCAGGGGCCATAATTCAGGAAGTTACAATCCGAAATGCGCGAATATCGAAACGAACCAGGACCTTTGGGCTATAAACATGTATTTCAAGTTTCATCAATTGAATCAAAATCGTGACCTCTAGATGGTCCACAACCTTGATATACCATATGTTTACACTATTTGCATACGAGAGGCGGCCATTTTGTCGGGCAGTTTTGGTCTGATTTTCACAAAATTTAAACTCAACCAACATTATGGTGTAATGGTGATGTACTCAAACATTTTTTTTTTAAATCAGATAATAATTGTGACCTCTAGAGCGTCCACAAGCTTAAAACGTGATTTTTCATACAATCAGGGTCTATAATCCATGAAATTATGGTGCAATACATGCCAATATCGAAATGAACCAAGATCTTCGAGAGATAGACCTATATTTCAAGTTTCGTCAAAATCCGATAAAAATTGTGACCTGTAGAGTGTCCACAAACAAATTGTAGAAGGACGGATGTCTGAACGGACAGGGGCGACGTCAATATACGTCCACATGAAAATGTGGGCGTAAAAAAAATGATTCTTCGTACAATCAGGGGCCATAATTCAGGAAGTTACGATCCGATATGCGCAAATATCGAAAGGAACCAAGATCTTTGGGTTATAACAATGCATTTCAAGTTTCATCAAAATTAGGTAAAAATTGTGACCTCTAGTGTGTTCACAAGCTAAGAATGATATCTTCCGTACAACCAGGGGCCATAATCCATGAAGTTATGGTCCGATACATGCCATTATCGAAAGGAACCAAGATCTTTGGGAGATATACCTATATTTTAAGTTTCGTCAACATCGGATAGGGGGTTGGATGACCGAATGGTTAGCACGTGCATGCTGTTTCATAACGTCTGTCATTGAGTCAACTGGCGTGGTTTCATGGGTTTTCTCCGGGTCCTCCGGTATCCTCCCACTGCTAACCATGTGTTGGTCCCGAAATGACCTAGTTTGTGTCGAGTGGACGTTAAACCCCATTTCTCTCTCTCTCTCTCAAAATCGGATAAAAATTGTGATCTGTAGAGTGTACAAAAACAAATTGTGGACGAACGGACGGACAGGGGGGACTTCATAATACGTCCACATGAAAATTTGGGCTTATAAAATATAGATAGGACATTGTTAGGCTACCAGCAACATTTAAAAGTAATACAATTTCAACGGATCATCAGTGAAGTATCAATGATGATCTACTGTCACTTCAAAATTGTTGTTTAGTTACCTTAAGCCTTCTTTTTTCGTAACTTCTTTGAATAGGTGAAACTTCTGGTTCTCCTCCAGCATCCAGATCAACAACTTGAATGTCAAATAATGTCTTTGTTACATCTCCTAATATATCGTTTTCACTATAACTGACCTAAAATACATATTGCAGGCCTTCACGTCAATAAATTCCTGGAGAGTCAAACCAGCGGCTGCCAGGCAGGATACGCCCACATTTTCGAGCGATGGATAGAGAACAAGCTAAAAAGAAAGTGATTTTTCCTACAATCAAGGGCCATAATTCAGGAAATTACAATTCGATATGCGCAAATATCGAAAGGAACCGAGATCTTTGTGTTATAAACTTACATTTCAAGTTTCAACAAAATCGGATTAAAATTGTGACCTCTATAGGGTCCACAACCTTGATATACCATATTTTTACGCTATTTGAGAACGAACGGCGGCCATTTTGTCTGTCAATTTTGGGCCGATTTACACGGTGATATAATAATACGATTTTTTAAATCGGATAAAAATTATGACCTCTATAGGGTCCACAAGCTAAAAACGTGATTTTTTGTACAATCAGGGGCCATAATTCAGGAAGTTACAATCCGATATGTGCGAATATCGAAAGGAACCGAGATCTTTGGGTTATAAACTTACATTTCAAGTTTAAACAAAATCGGATAAAAATTGTGACCTCTATACGGTCCACAACCTTGATATACCATATTTTTACGCTATTTGAGAACGAACGGCTGCCATTTCGTCTGTCAGTTTTGGGTCGATTTTCACGAAATTCAAACTCAGCCGTCCTTAGGATGTAACGGTGATGTAATAATACGTTTTTTTAAATCGGAATAAAATTATGACCTCTATAGGGTCCACAAGCTAAAAACGCAATTTTTTGTACAATCAGGGGCCATAATTCAGAAAGTTACAGTCCGATATCTGGAATATTGAAAGGAACCGAGATCTTTGGGTTATAAACTTACATTTCAAGTTTAAACAAAATCGGATAAAAATTGAGACCTCTATAGGGTCCACAACCTTGATATACCATATTTTTTCACTATTTGAGAACGAACGGCGGCCATTTTGTCTGTCAATTTTGGGCAGCCGTCCTTAGGGTGTAACGGTGATATATTAATACGTTTTTTTAAATCGGATAAAAATTATGACTTCTATAGGGTCCACAAGCTAGAAACGCAATTCTTCGTACAAACAGGGGCCATAATTCAGGAAATTACGGTCCGATATGCGCGAATATCGAAAGGAACCAAGATCTTTGGGTTATAAACTTACATTTCAAGTTTCAACAAAATCTGATTAAAATTGTGACCTCTATAGGGTCCACAACCTTGATATACCATATTTTTACGCTATTTGAGAACGAACGGCAGCCATTTTGTCTGTCAATTTTGGGCCGATTTTCACGAAATTCGAACTCAGCCATCCTTAGGGTGTAACGGTGATATAATAATACGTTTTTTTTAATCGGATAAAAATTATGACCTCTATAGGGTCCACAAGCTAAAAACGCGATTTTTCGTACAATCAGGGGCCATAATTCAGGAAGTTACTGTCCGATATGCGCGAATATCGAAAGGAACCGAAATCTTTGGATTATCAACTTAGATTTGAAGTTTCAACAAAATCGGATAAAAATTGTGACCTCTATAGTGTCCACAAGCTAAAAACGTTATTTTTAATACAAACAGGGGCCATAATCCATGAAGTTTCGATCCAATACATGCCAATATCGAAAGGAACCGAGATCTTTTGGAGATAAACCTATATTTCAAGTTTCGTCAAAATCGGATAAGAATTGTGACCTGTAGAGTGTCCACAAACAAATTGTTGACAGACAGACAGGGGCGACGACAATATACGTCCACATGAAAATGTGGGCGTATAAAAATTGTGACCTCTTTAGGGTCCACAACCTTGATATACCATATTTTTACGCTATTTGAGAACGAACGGCGGCCATTTTGTCTGTCACTTTTGGGCCGATTTTCATGACATTCGAACTTAGCCGTCCTTAGGGTGTTACGGTGATATAATAATACGGTTTTTAAAATCGGATAAAAATTGTGACCTCTATAGGGTTATAAACTTACATTTCAAGTTTCAACAAAATCGGATAAAAATTGTGACCTCTATAGGGTCCACAACCTTGATATACCATATTTTTACGCTAGTTGAGTACGAGCGGCGGCCATTTTGTCCGTCATTTTTGGCCCGATTTTCACGAAATTCGAACTCAGTCGTCCTTAGGGTGTAACGGTGATATAATAATACGTTTTTTTAAATCAGATAAAAATTCTATACACTCTTAAGACCAACTAGAAATCAGCCTGATTTCTTCTTGTTTAGGAATTTGACCTCAAAGATAATGGAAGTTTGTTGAAGAGAATCCTGTCATCAACTTCTCAAAGATAATAAATTGTCGCCCAATTATTATCTATTTAGATGGTGCAGTGTATAAGTGTCATATTACACTGCTCTATATTTAGAATATAAAAGCTAGATGATTTGGAAATCAGGTTCTGTGGGATTTTCAATTGAAATTAAAATTAAAAATGAATAAGAGAATAAAAGAAAATAATCCAATTGAATGTAGAAATAAACAAATTTAATAACAATTTAATAAAATAATTATATCATGAAAATAAAATTGATTCAAATATTACATAAAGTAATAATTAGCTTATTTAATTAGATGTAGCATCTTGTTTTAGCCAGGGTATACAAACATAAATTTCAAATTTAAACCAAATCGGCTAAAAATTGTGACCTCTACACTGTTCACAAGCTCAAAACGTAATATTTCGTACAATCGGGGGCCATAATCCATGAAGTTACAGTCCGGTACATGCCAATATCGAAAGGAACCGAGATCTTAGGGGGATTAACCTATATTTCAAGTTTCATTGAAATTGGATAAAAATGGTGGTGGCTTGCCAAACTTAAATCACATGATGTCATCCAACGATAAAACCATCCGAAACAGGCAGCCTTTTTTTTATGCAATACTAAATAGATCTTCTAGAAAAAAAAAACAAACTTCTACTTAATGTAGTTTAATGTAAAACTTCAGATATGGTGGATCACGTTGTACTTAAATAAGCAAAACTGTCAATATTTTCTTCAAAACAACGATTGATTATTGTTATTTGTTACATTTCTGCCACATCCAACTGGCTTTTCTGGACATTTTAAAACGGAATAGGGTTGACGTCTTTACGTCATGAAAGTGGGGCTAAATATATATCACATACAATAGCTAATCAAAATAGAGAACCTTTACGGGTCACGCATGACAAATGCACTGTAGTTATATGAATGTCCATATCGATTTTGATAAAAACACTGCTTGATTTCATAAACTTTACTGACAATATTTGCAGATACCGAAAACAAAAGTTGTCTCATTACATTGGGCTGTATATGTTTAATTAGAACTAATAATAGTATAAAAATTAACTTATATTTAAGATTAAGATGTTACATGCTTTAAACATACATTATACAAGAGCTAAATCTGCCTTTTGCAAGTCTTTATTTAGGCTTCAGATGTTATAGAATTTAATAATTAGACCTTTATTTACGTAGCAATTTTCTTAATCAACTCTTAGACCCTCGGATGGCTTGGATACAGCTTGGATTTAAACAGTCGTCCATTTAAAATTAAATCAACAAGCCAACAGTGAGGCTGATGTCCCCCGCCGAAATTGCAAAATAAATAGATGACACATATTAATTAATCGCACATTTATTTTTTTCACTTAGTTTCATCACTCTCTATCAGATAGAATCAAGATTATCTTGTCCCAAACCATCGACAAATGAAATCGATTAGCTCTGCTTAGCTTCAGCTCGAAATGTTAATTATTGAACTCAGTCAAGACATTCACCTAATGAACATCTACATATACATCAAGTTTAAACATTCACCTAATAGACACCTATGCCAAGTTTGAACATTCTACCTCAATTAGAAGGAGAGTTATTGTGTTCCAAAGTTTCTACCAATCAAATTGCTTATCACTCTGCTTACCCTCAGCAAAAAATGTTCATTATCGAACTTAGTTAAGGTATTCATATAATAAATCTATACACCAAGTTTCATCAATCTCACTTAATTAGAACTAAAGTTATCGTGTCCCAAAGCATCAACCAATCAAATTGCTTATCTCTGCTTACCCTAAGCGGAAAATGCTCATCTTCGAACTCCATCAAGGCATTGACCTAATCAACACATACACCAAGTTTGAACATTCTAGCTCAATTAGGAAGAGAGTTATCGTGCCCCAAAGTATCAACCAATCAAATTGCTTATCTCTGCTTACCCTAAGCGGAAAATGCTCATCTTCGAACTCCATCAAGGCATTGACCTAATAAACACATACACCAAGTTTGAACATTCTAGCTCAATTAAAAGTTATCGTGTCCCAAAGCATCAACCAATCAAATTGCTTATCTCTGCTTACCCTAAGCGGAAAATGCTCATCTTCGAACTCCATCAAGGCATTGACCTAATCAACACATACACCAAGTTTGAACATTCTAGCCCAATTAGGAAGAGAGTTATCGTGTCCCAAAGCATCAACCAATCAAATTGCTTATCTCTGCTTACCCTAAGCGGAAAATGCTCATCTTCGAACTCCATCAAGGCATTGACCTAATAAACACATACACCAAGTTTGAACATTCTAGCTCAATTAGGAAGAGAGTTATTGTGTCCCAAAAAGTGTGACGGACAGACAGACGGACGGACAGACGGACAGACAGACGGACAGACAGACGGACGAACCCATTTTAATAGTCCCCTGCTTTCTTCGAAAGGCGGGGGACAATAAATGGCGGAGCAAGCTAACATTTACCGTTAGTCACTAATGTCACTACCGGAGACTGGTGATGAAAGGCCTGCCAGGCAAGTTTACCATAGCCAATGAGAATGTTACTTGATGACCGAGAATATGTGGGTGGAGTATATCGTCTGCAATTCTCGTAGACGGTGCAGACTGCCGACACAGTTAATGCCTATTTCTAGTCCAAACTTCCAACAGTGACAACTCCGTTCAGAATAAAGTAATTTGACTGAAATTTTCAATATTTTCTTTTTTTATCATCTATTTTTGAATTATTATAGCAAGAATGGCCAACTCTTTATTAAACTCTTAAACATGCATTATGCAAGAGCTAAATCTGCCTATTGCAGGTCTTTCTTTAGGCCTGAAATGTTTTCTAAAGTATTAATTAGACATTAATTAACTGATCCAGGCCTTAATCAACTCTCGATGGCATCAGATTTCTCCGATATTAAATAGATTAGAATGGTTCAGCGATACTTTGATTTAATCAAATATGGGGGACCGAGACTTAGCTTCGATCAACCAGTACGGTGGTTGAAATTATTGCACACGTCTGTCAAACCTTCAAAGGCTAATATCTTCGCTTGCAATAGAGTAATTTGAATGAAATTTTCAAATTATTCATTTTACATCATCTACTTTCGAACTATTATAGCAAGAATGGCTAGTTCTTTATCTAAATCTTACATAATGTATCTTTAAAGGAGCTAAATTGCTAATATTTGGGACCTAGAAATTGACACAAATGGATCGCAACGCATATAATAATTATTTTTAATATGAATGTACATAAACTGATTTAAATTCAATCGTTTCCGTTTTTACTCTAATTTCAAATCAGTTATGTTTGGCGAAATACGCGATAAGTCTCAATAAAATGGCAACCTCTAGCGTCTAGCTATTCCAGTCTACACCAATAGTATTTATTGTGCATGCTCTCCAGATAAGAATCTGATGTCACCGTTTGACACGACTTGTGGAATATGTCTAGCCTCGTTCTTCTAGTCCCTTGTTACAAATGGCGCTGAAATGCATTATGGTACACGATTCTTGTACCAACGGTAAAATGTTTATTTTGTCTAAAATATTGGATATCAAAAGCCCATCTTTTCATGATAAGATAACAACATCATGGTTGATTTAAATTGACAAATAATTTGTGTTTTCAATTTTGATGGCTTTGAAAGATATTGAGTTAGAGACTTAGCTACTACTAATGTATCTTTAATAAAGAAATTAAGTTTGCCAGGTGAAACTAAATGCATCCTATGTAGCTAAATGCATCATATTGCAGCTATATAAAAAGTGATAGGAACTGTCAGCGGACATCGTCCGATCGGAGACAGTTCCTAAACAGGGCTGCCGACAACCAGTATCGCAGCGCAATTTGCGATACATATTTTGTCCGTTGCTAATCAAAAATTAAAATCTAACGTTTTTGATTCGCAGTAACTGCGAATCAATAATATGCCTGTCATTTTGGATATTGACACAAAGATTTATCCACATTTCTCAACACTTTCAACGCGTATAAAATATCAAATAAATTTTATAAACAAAACGGAATTCTCCGTGTGACATTTTCTTCTCGAACTACCCAGACTCAATTCATGATACTATATAATACAGGGACATAACTCTATGAATCGGGACTATTAAACCGGAAATAGGGAATCAAGTAGTACCACTCACGTTGCGAGACATGTCAATTTCGAGTAATTATATCAGTATTCAATTTGAAAAAAAATAAATTCAGTGTATCCCCCACGTATTGTAAATAAAATATAAAAAAATAAATACGTGTAAACGTATTGTAAAGTGAGAAATCAAAGTAAGAATTCCCGTAAACTATTATTGTTTATATCGCGTGCGTCTAGTTAATCGAGATTATTCGTAAAATACCGCGTGCTTCCGATTGAACAAAAATAATAACACACAATAAAAAGCAGACGAAATTGTTTTCTAACGAAGAAATAAGAAGCCACTGCCAAGAATTGGCTTCAGACATAAGGCCTAACAAAAGTCTACATTCATTCAGAAATGTTCACAGCTAGCTGTAGAAGTGCTAACATTCTAAAAAAATCTTAAGAATGAAATCTAATCATTTGCTATCAATTAAAATTAAAATAATCTTGTTATTTAGGTGTTTTATGTTGATTTGAAACTGAAAAACTGCTAATCAATTTTTAAATTTGCTAATCAAATTTGGCAAAATTGGACTTTTTGATTAGCAGTGCTGCTAATCATCTGTGAAAAATTACCGACAGCCCTGTTCCTAAAGTAAAGGAACTATATTAAAGTACCTAAGTCTCTAGCTCAATATCATCCAAAATCTTCAACATTGAAAACACGGTTTATTTGTCAAATTAAATCAACATTCATGTTGTGATCTTACCGGAAAAAGATGGGCTTTTGATATCCAATATTTAAGACAAAATAAACATTTTACCATTGGTACACGAATCGTGTACCATAATGCGCTTCAGCCCCAGTTGTATCAAGAGACTCGAGGGACTAGGCTAGACACATTGCACCAAATCAAATGGCGTATGTAGACTGGAATAACCAGACGCTAGAAATTTGCACTCGCTTGAGACTGCTGGCTTATTTCGCCGAACATAACTGATTTGAAATTGGAGTAAAAACGGAAACCATTGAATTGTAAATCAGTTTATATACATTCATACTACCGGTAAAGTATTATATGTGTTGCGACCTACTTTTGTCAATTTCTAGGTCCCAAATGTTAGAGATTTAGCTCCTTTAAGTACCTGTGCTAGGCCTACAGGGGAGTAGATTTATTTATTTTTTTTTTTGGGGGGGGGGGGGGTAACAAATTGAAAATCATATGACTGTTACCTCTCCTAAACTTGGAACTACATGTATAGGAGTCCTTGCGCCATGTCTGAAATACACTTGAACATGTTTTAATTTCAGATCACTTCGACCATTTAAACCTGCATTATCATCATTATTGTTATTCACATTATTATTATTGTCAAATTCCGAGGCCCGAACAAAATTAAAATGTTTCTTAAAAAAATAACATATCCCTGAACTTGTTGCTATTGCGCCTGAAATTTTAAAACCGTTATTCCACTGCATGGTTAATTTCTCACTTCACTGTAACGTCAAAAAATGTCACATAAAACTTCAAGGTATTAAAATAAAAGAAACCTTGAAGTACACGCGTGTTTACAATTCGAAATCCCTTTCTATCTTTAAAAGCAGCAGATAGATAGCGGATCCAAGGGAAGAAACTGATGCAATCAAAATAGTCTCGAACACCTAGAGCATGTTGAATTCTACGTAGATTCTTTAAATTGCGAAATATCGGTATTTAAATTGAGTAACATAAATTAATGTTAGAAAGTTCCTGGAATACCAGTCAAGAAACAATCATTTTAGGCGATGTTATTATTGATTTGTGTAACAGTGTAACTGTAACACCAACATAATGATTATTGATTGAACCGACCTTCCTTTTACAGATTCATGAAATTTCGTTTTAATTACCGGTAGGGCCTACTCTTTTTATCTGAAGAAAGAATTTTTTTAACTAGAATGACATGGCTCCGAATTTACCGGATAGATGGATGAAAAATGGATAAATTTCAAATTTTATTATAATAGTTGTGGCGCTTTTATGAAATATAAATTCATTGAACATAGGCGTAGGATCTCGAGATATATAGGCGCGGTGCAGATTCGGTGAACCGTCCATTTTTCGGGTAATATATTTCCGTTTTTCAGGCACAAACATCAGACTGAGAATGGGGAACATTAAGTTGTTTTTTGCTTAAATTGTAAATTTATATTGTTGTGTAATAGTGTAATTGATTAAAAATAAACAACCATCACAGTTTTGTGGAAAATTCGTTTGAGTTTATGATTGATTCATTGTGAAAATTCGGGTGACAAAGAAAATTTTCGGGCAAATCTGTAAACTATTGAACAAGTATTTTGCGCCGTTTTCACAGTAGCCTACCTAAATTTTCTGACGAAATTGTTTGAGGAAATACATGTATCAGGTTAGGTCTAATTTTTAGAGGTGTAAATTCTCTCTTCGGATATACTAACAGACTTCGAATGATTCTTCAATTCTTTAATATACCGGAACATAAATATACATAACATATATCGTCATACAGTACTGACAGGCCAGTTACCGCATTTAGTAAGGGATCCTAACTAGTGACTCCTTCGATGTACAAATTTTGTTATATTTATGGAAAATCAGATAATAGGATAAAAGCAACTGTTGTAATTAAAACAGACATGTCGATAGATGAACAATGCATAACCTGTTAAACAATATGATAATCAACAAAAACAATAGATGGAATTAACGTCGTTACCCAATGACGGCTTGAAAAGTGGTGACAGGTTAACGACTTGCTAGCCAGTTGATCTTAAAGTGGTTAATTTAAAAAACATTAATTGTCTTAGCGATTGGTAGTTCAGCTCTGAACGTAGGTCTCATTACACTCGCCCTGAACGTTCAGGAACCGTCCTTTTGAATCCTTGGCGAAAAAATTTCACTTCCCAGTAAATTTTACTGGACAACTTTTTACTGCTAAACGGAAGCGTGTCAGTCCCTGTGAAGGCCCGAAAAATATAAATGAACATCTTAGTGAGAAGATAAAACCTTGCTTACCTCGCTAGAACCAGTACGAGCGCACAACACGCTGTTAAAAAATACGTCCCCATCTTCTAAACGACTTGATAGGGTAACGCACAAATTTACGAATTCGGCCATATAAGATGAAATGCAATTTAGGTAATCCTGGGGTGGGGGGGGGGGGACATTGAAATCTTTGAAAAGTTGAAAATCAACGGCCGAAAAACTCTCCCTGATTATGAAACCCGGGGGACGTGGATATGATTCGAATCTTGGTGCGATGATTCGAATCTTGGTGCGATGAAAGGAAAAACTGCAAGAGGAAAGAAACCAGAAACGAAATAAATTCGTTCGGCGGACCGCTCAGCGCGGAAGTGGTCTGAACGCCGAGCAGTTTAACCAACATCGAGTCTTGCTTCGCAGATTGACTAATCCGCGAACACGACCCGACGTCAAACAGCGACTTCTCAATCAACAAGGTGGTGCCTTCGGTGTATTTATTGCTCGGTATGTCACTCACAGCAGCTTTAGCCCCCTTGGTATCTAAACTATGGGGGTGGGGGGGGGACAACAAGGTGGTAACCATCCCTTCCTTAGAGCGCACGGTAGAGCGCGCGCTTTTGTCTCCGACGTATCTAATATATTTGGGGGATAACCTGTTGAACAGAAAGGTATAAACAGGAAATTGGAGAATGGCACCGAGCTCAGCCATGGAGACACTGCGGTATCTATTGAACACTGCACCTAAAGACCGCCTTCTGCTGGAGACCCAACCCATCGTCGACGGTGTGTGCGAGTGTATTGGAAACCTGATTCGTGGCGACGTTCCTGTGACCAAGAACGAAATCAAGTGCTTGAAAAAGAACGTCCCCTTGTTACGACGTTTGGGCACGTCTAAAACACCCTGGAAGACACGTCGGCGACTTCTGAAGCAACAAAAAAGGTACTTCTTCACCCGGTTGTTCCGGTCATTTCCGAAAGATGAAATTCGCCAAGAAAATGAAACTGGTGCCCTACGACGAACCCACCGACGTCAGACCCATCGAAGTCAGACAAGTCGAACCCGCGTACGATCGAGATCCACTGCAGCAGGCTGTCGAGAATGTTCACTAAGACATGCAACACGTGTTAAACGATCCCACACTGACCGACGAAAATCAAATGTAACGGTACGGACAGTTGGGGTCACGGTGGCTAAGTGGGTAAGACGCTGGCTCGCTAGCCTGGAGGTCGGGTGTTCGATCCCTGCATTGACCGAGAAAGTTCATCCAGATTTTCCGGCGTGGTTCCCCCTTGTCAGTGATGCAGGACGGAGGGCCTGACAAGTACAGCTGTCTAGTCGTTCGGATGGGACGAAAAACCGAGGTCCCGTGTACACATTGGCGTGCACGTAAAAGATCCCTTGACAGTTGGAATTTGATACAAGAGTGGGCTGTGGTACCGCTGTCTGGGCAAAATTTCCCTCATAGCACACTGTATGGCTTATGCCCGTCTTCATTAGCCCAGTTCGCAGCAGAATAGTAGGACGTTAAACCTCATTTCTTTTCATTTTTGTTACACCGTTATCAAACGATGCAAAAGAAAAGAAAACAGGTCATTCCCTTGTCGGACGAGAAAATATCCGACCAAAAAGAAGAAGGGGCAACAGCCGTGGTCTCGGAGACGCCCATCCTAGAGTCGATCCACGGAGTCTTTCAACATCGGGATTGCCTTTTGTTGAAACACATGAAAGAAAAAACACCTTGGTCGTGGAACGAGGACTTGGAATTGCTTCGGGATGGAGTACCCGTGCCCAGGGGTACCCGTGCCCGGTACCAATGCCATCGAGATCGTGAACGATTTGGTTCGTCGTCGAAAGAATACCCAGGTTCCATTGGGATGGTTTGGCGTGATGCAAAGTTTAAAGGCCATGAACGTACCGCACGAAGCCATCGGCAATCAAGAACTATGGAACGTATTGTCCACGCCATCCTAACGGATCCCCGTTCCGCCGCGACCCCCGCGAAAGAAGAAAATCTCAGGTACGGATACCCCTACTACGAGTACACCCACTGGGCGAGCCAGATCTACGAGTACACCTGTTCATAGCCTGTTCATATGGCAATCTACTGAAACATGGAACAAAAGCTGAAGAAAGTCTATTACGACCCGAAACATTCGGCCGCTTTCGGTGGAGTCCTGGGTCTCTCGAAAAGCTACTGGCGTGTCCTTGGATAAAGTCAAGCCATGGTTGAAACAACAAAGGGCGTACACCTTGCACAAACCACTGAAAAAGAAATTCCCCACCATCGTGGCTGGATAGGTCATCAGTGGCAAGCCAACTAGAACGATATGTCCGCGTTAGCCCAACAGAATGAGGGATACAAGAATTTGCTGTGCGTCATCGATGTGTTTTCCAAGTACGCTTGGTGTTGCCCCTTAAAAACAAGACGGGAGACAATTTGGTGGACGCCTTTCGTCGAATCTTACAAAGTCGACAACCCGTACGACTTCAAACGGACAAAGACACCGAATTCCTCAATCGAAAAATGCAAGCTTACCTGAAAAAGAAAAAAAATCATTTTCTCGTTACACACAACGTCGAAACCAATGCCAGTGTGGTGAAACCATTTCAATGGACACTGAAAGAGCGCATGTGGTGATACTTTACTCATCGACAAACACAATGGTACATCGAGGTGCTAGACGAACTGGTTCGGGCTTACAACGCCAAACGACACCGTACCATCGGTATGGCGCCCAAAGACGTTCGTCGCGAACACGAATGGATGTTGACAACACCTCCACGCCCCATCAAAAAGAAAAAGAGAACAATGAATATCGGCACAACCGTACGCTTGACTTTACCGAAACACGGTGCCTTCGATAAAGGTTACTGGCCGAACTGGACTCTGGAAACATTCAACGTCGCACCCAACGTCGATCCCGGTTACAAACCTTTAGACGAAAGAGGTGAACCCATAGCGGGTACCTTCTATCCCGAAGAATTACAAGCGTACCCAAATTGGTGAAATGGCTCGGCTATCCGGCGAGTTTTAATTCCTGGATCGATAGGACCAGTATCCAAAACGTATAAATGGACGATCACCTACACAACACGGTCGGCCTACGCGTTCATCCCTGGGATAATTCGAGCGAAGAACCCGAACAAAAGGTATGCCTGGAACGCCTAGCTACATGGACTCATCGTACACCCCCCACCCCCAGCGAAAAAAATAGTCGGTCGCAAAATAAATGCAGTCGGTCGCAAAATAAGTGCAGTCGATCTCAAAATAAGTGCAGTCGATCTTTAATGCGTGTAGTACTAGCCAGTGGTTACTATATCCACTTTACGGCAAGTTCACGCCAATCTGGTTGAAATTAATTCAGCTATCTTCATTCAAAGTCGTAAAAATAGACCTCCCGTAAAATAGGCTTTGCCAATTATCGAAAACACTCTTAATCCCCTCAGGCGCCAGTGACGTCACAGTGACCGAATGCATATTCGGAATGTTTATTCCTTAATTACCTATATAGAGCCGGCGTGTGTATTCTTTAACGCCTGAAGGATTCCTTAATCCCCCTAATTAAAAAAAAAAATCACTCACCAAACGGCACCAGGAACTCCATGTATGAT